TCCTCGGCGTTCGGTGGTTCAAGCGCACCAAAATAGATCAATCGGTCATATGGGACCCTTAGTACGTTCCCCGCTTATCATTTGAATGCGCACTCATGACGCCTTGCAGCCCAGAGCTTGAGATCATGTTTTGGGAGCACAGGGCCTATCTGGATTCTACGTGCGAGGGCCCGCCGTTCCTCATTCCGGTTACAGATGTTTTGTCTCAGGCCTGCCGCTTGGCAGTGTGTCTACCACCAGACCATGTCAGTGATGAAGACGAAGATGTCCCAGAGGGCCAGGAGCTTCAGATGGTCTGGGTAACATGCGGTCTCACACGGGTATGTCAGCACCACCATCTGAGAACTAAAAGGCTTACTATATTATTCTGCAGGATGTACAAGTACTGTAGCCTCGTCTTCGCATTTTGTGCCTTGTCCCTCGCACATAATTCTACCAGCTTTTTTAATTGCATCTCAATCTTCTGACTAGCATTTAAAGTACAGGACAGTGTCTCGGATAAGAGCACTGGGCCCAGGCAGGCGGCCGAACGATCAAGAATACGGTCAAGAACGAACACTAATGCAGTACCCCCTACTCAGGTCTCATCATCCTCTTCCTCGCCCGCGCTATCAGCATCTTCACCGTGACGACGACTGCTGCCCTCGCTCCGGTCTTGTGCCAAGCCCTCTCCACCGGCACGATCCTCCCTCGTACCACCAGCCTCTTCGTCGGTCGACTCGAGATCCCTGAAGCCGCGAGGGTTCTTGACCTTGAATTTGATGTCTTGGTCTCTGGCGCCATGGCGTTCTGCCTGCCAACGCTTCAGCCAGGTTGTGTTGACAAGAACCGGAGATATCAAGCGCTTTAGATCGGGCACATTGGTGCGTGAGATGCGACCGAGGTCGATGCGTCTATGGACTTGAGGCACCTCAGCCTTAAGGTTTGCGTTGTACAGATCATCAAGCTCGTGATAAATCTGGGTCACCTAGACAAACGTACTCTTCGTAAGTACTTGACGGCTGCGTCTGCTCAGAAAAAGGACACTTACTCTGTTAGTGCGCCAGGTGAAGGATCGCAGTTCAAGCATCTTGATACCTCGCGCGATATCTTCATCGGTGAGTCCGCTCTTCTCCTTAGCTTCGCTATAAAACATCTGCCGCTTCGCATCATCAGATGCACTGAACGTGCTGACTTCTTCGGTCATCCATGGCGTCTCAACGAGGGGCTGCGGATTGACCCCGTGCTTTTCCTCATAGAGCGAGCAGGCATCAAGGCGACGGTTCTTTGTCTGAGCCTCAAATCAGTTGGGAGTGAGCCAATAGATTCTCCATTACATGCCTCACGCTGACGACCAGCACGGCGCCCGTTGTCCGTGGCCTCGAAGCGTTTCTGGACCTTCGCCGGGTCCTTCTTCTGGCTGTAGGCTGTCTTCCAGTTGCGCAGATGGTTCTTCACCATTTCCTCGATGTCACAGAGCGTGAATTTAACCTCCTTGCAGGAGATCGTCCACTTCTCCTTGTCCTAATGCTGCATGTGAGTAGTCAATCGCTGCTACGGACACATTTCACTCACGGTCTGCTCCGCATAGATAAGCCTTGCAACTTGCTCAATTACCGCCCGATTTGTAGGGTGGTCAACGGGCTCGCTCCAAGCAATCGGGAGATAGCTGGGTCGTGCGGCAGGCGTTGTGGGCTCGGGCTGGCCACGGCGCAAGACGAAAGGGTTCTTTGCAATACCAGTAATGTTGTGCACTTCTTGCTTAACCAGAGACTAACAAAAGACAAGCCCAGATTAGCATATATGCGCATATATCTTGTAATGCGGCACAGCTGCGAAGTTGAAAAAAGGTGCGTACCACAAGTTCTGACTTGGTTGTCTGCTGACGCTTGTTAAGCTCAGTCTTGTTCGCCATGAGGATGAGGCGTGGAGCAATGTCGGGCTCCGACTCGGAACTGCTGTCAGCATCGCTGCTGGACTCGGTATCACTGCTAGACTCAGCACCGCTTTCTGTACCCTGGCGACAGCGGCGACGGCGGCGCCGCCCTCCGTGCTTGGAACGCCTATCCTTGCGCTTTCAGCCGTTGCGGCTCAATCCACCACCTGTCTCCTCTGTCTCAAGGAGGGCAGGATCAATGACCATCGCTTCGCGACGCTGGGCATTCCGGCCCGCGGGACGGCAGGTACGAGCAGTCGCACGATCACCAGACTGCCCGGAGGACAGCCCCATCATCTCGCGCCACTCTTGCATCGTCGGAGGAGGGCATTCAGGGTCTGCAGCTTGCAATTCCCGCTTGAACTTATTGTACGCGGCCCATTCAGCAGGGCCGGTGCAGGCACTAGGTAGCGGCGGTGGCGGTGCACTCTGCGTGGTGCGGGAGGGCATAGCTGAGTGGGATTTTTACTTCTTGCAGCTCAGAGGTTGCTGGTGGCTGTCTGGAACGTGAGGAAGGGGTAGGAAAAGGGGACGGAGGATGGTGTACGATTATTTATTGGTATTTCTGACATTTCTGACATGAATTGAAGTTGCCTATCTGGGCTCCCACCATATCAGTGTGGATCCGAATAGACCGCACATAAGCATGCTTCTTATACCTATTCAGACAATATAAGCCGGTATCTGTTACTTCCATTCAGTCATTATTATACCGCCTATAGTCTCTCTTTTACTTCCATTCAAGCCGAGTAAACAGTCACTTGTTACCTCTCTTTAGTTCCGTATGGGCCGTCTGTGCCAGGGGTCATTATGTCAAATATGCGGGTGTCCCGATAGGTCTATATTGGCGCCCTGTCACGAGTCCTCCTACTTGATCTCTCTCTCGTCTAGCTACCTGTGTCTGGCCGTCCATAGGGTGTTCAATAGGATCTGAACATAATGCGCATGGAGTCTAAGCAGACGGTTTAATATTACCCTCCCAGCAGCTTCCCATAGCCGCTCAAATTGTGGCTAGGCGTACACTTGTTAGCCACACCTGACACGCAGTGATTGTCGGCTATTGTCGGGGAAATTGCGAGGAACGCTCTGCGCTCAGCCGGTCGACCGATGCCGGAGGCTAAACGCCGTGCGGGGCGTGGGATCAATTTGGGCTGCGGTAGACGCCCGAGTGCAGCTTTGCTGTGAACTTGTTTGCACTCATCGTCGGATATCACAAGCCTCGTTGCTCGCCGTCCCACTCTGGCGCCGCGATGGCTCTCCTCACTCAGTCAGAGACTCTCGCCTTCAACGGCTTCCTCTCCTCCATCGACTTTGGCGACGCACTCGAATGGAGCGGTCTCTCCCCCGACGAGATACCCCTGATGCCCTCCCAGGGCAAGGAGGCCGCCCTCGCCAAGGCGACCAAGGATCTCATGTCGCTCGAGGCGTCCCTCCGCCATGAAGACCCGGGGGTTCACTCACAGACGAAGCATCCTATCGATGTCGTCAGCGGTAGTTGGGCCTGGTTTCCCAGAGGAGCGGTATCCCGGGGGCAGCAGATTACACTTATGGCTTTGGTGTCCCCCCGTCGGACGGCATTCTAGT